TTCTTCTCCGTGGCATGCTGGGAGGCAGTGAGGTCAAATCACTTCCTCCTCAGTGCCGCTGGGGAGGAGGCACACACCACACGGAGGAGGATGCAAGCATTGTGGGGGAGAGGGACTGAGAAAGCTGATGGCAGACTCCCATCAGCCTGGGCCAACAAGCTCCCACTGGACCCCAGGGAAGCCACCTTTCTGTACCCAAAAGGTAAGGAGACAGGAGGGTGGCTAAATATGTTTTGTTTTTTTGTTTTGCTTATTTCTGATATCACTTTTATTCAAGTGTTGGTGTTTGTAATGTAACACACAGGGAATAAGTACATGTTAAAAATCCTAGAAGAACCTGACAGTTCCCTATTAAATATAAATTTTAAAAGTATTTATTTTAACATATTGCATCAAGTGTTATCAAAGGCTGTATACCATTTCCAAATGTCACTTTTGCCAAATTCTGGACCAGGGTATGTAAGAACAGAATTGAGACATTATTATGGCCAAGGTTGCTGGGAGTTGCTGTCCAAGAGCTGCTAGAAGGCAGAGATTAAAATATGTAAATGTACACATATATGTGTGTGTGTATCTGGCTGTGTTTATGTCCTTGTGTGTATCTGGCTGTGTTTGTGTCAGTGTTTGTATTTGTCTGTGTGTCAGTGTTTCTGTGTGTATGTATACCTGTGTATGTGTACTTGTGTGTCAGTGTGTATGTGTACCTGTGTTTGTGTGTGTGTATGTATGTATGTGTCAGTGTGTGTAAGTGTGCATCTGAGTGTGTGGTAATGCATACATCCCAGCATTTTAATGCCAACACAAATACACTCCATCTCTAGCACTGTACACATATACACCCCTGCATTTATACCTTTATGTATGTGTGTATCTGAGTGTGTGTGTACATACCTGTGTCAGTGTGTGTGTGTACCTCTGTGTGTGGATGTGCCAGTGTGTGTGTGTATCAAAGTGCTTGTATCTGTGTGTCAAAGGGTGTGTATCTGAGTGTGTGTGTGTATGTGCCAGTATGTGTCAAGGTGTGAGCATGTGTCAGTGTGCCTATGTGTGTATCTACGTGTTAATGTGTATGTGTATATGTGTTATAGAAATCACACAACATGCAAACAGAGCCCTGCAAACACAAACGTTACATACAAACACACCAGTTTGCTGAAACACCAATACTACACACAAATGTACACAACACTACATCCAAACAACCCCCTGCATGCAAATACAAACATTATATACAAACACATTCCTGTATTAAAACGCTAAAATTATATACAAACACCAACTCTACACACAAAAGTACACCTGCATTTAAAAGCCAACACTACAGACAATCACACATTACTGCATTCAAACGCAAACACTACACACAAGTACATCACTGCATTCCAATGGTAACAGTACATACAAATACACCCTTACATGCACACATACACTCTATACAATAACATGCTGACATTCAATTGCACAAACACTGCTCAAAAATACAACCCTGCAAGGATGGTAGATCCCCACCTGGCATAGCATCGCAGGAGTTGTATGACAGATGAGGATCTATCTTTTCTTTACTCTTGTGCTACAGGGCAGGCCTGAATTATTTTTTTTTTGCACCAAGGCACTCTCTACATTAGTTTCGCCTCTAGGTTGGGGTGGAGGGAGTGATTGCAAGCCCAGGGGGCCCTAGCAGATGCTTGCCCAGGGTCCAATCAATATTAAAGATGGCCCTGATAGACACACATACACAAACAGACACATGCAAAATATTTTAGTCACTCTCCTATTACCTACCTTTTAGGTGCAAGAGGGTGACTTCCCTGGGGTCCAGTGGCTCAGGTTGATGGGAGTCAGAGTTCCTACTCTGACTCCCTCTCCTTCCTCTCGCGCGGCACCCGGTTGTTGCTGGGAGGAGTGAGTGGGGCAGTCATTTCCTCCCAACGTCTCACATCGGAGTGGGCTGGTCACGCTGTTACTGGGCCCACTCTGATGATTATATTCATTTCCATCAGGTGGCTCTAACAGCATGGGCCACCCAATGGGCCCCTTCACGTATGGCCCCGGCAATTATACTGCGCGGCCAAGGCCGCAACACATGGCAGCGGGCACCTGGTCGCACGTGTCCGCAGGGCGGCCCGGGCCCCCTGGAGTGACGGGCCCGGTCACAGCTGCGACCCCTGTATGTACGCCACTGCTGGAAGTGTATCAAAAGCAACCTGAATGGGTGTAGTAGACCCACAGGAAGACTAGGCATCTTTGTCAGACTGCATTGTAAATAAGAACTGACAATTGTAGGAAGCGTAAAAACCTAAGAAAAGGGTTGATTAACCCAAATAAAGGATCTAGGGTAAACGGGCAGGAAATGTACTCACAGGAGTTGAATAAAACCGAAATTTATTCACAAATACCAGAGCCGTCCGACCGCCACTAAAACTAAACCCCAACTCCAAGTTCCGGCAGTTGGGGGTAGCACTAGCTTCAAAACTCAGGGAAAAAAAACAAGAAAATGGCTTCCGCAAACAGAATAAATAATATAGCCGTACGTATATGGCACTATATGCGTTCGCTAGAATAAACTCCAAAACGCTGTATTTGAACGATATAACTGAACAAAACGCGCGTGCGCGCTCTCGAATCCAGTGAGTGGCGGATGGAACAGTAAAAAGGCTCACGAAAAACGGTGCAAAAGAGCCGAACAGGGAACAGAAATCCCTGAAGACGTCCCTCAGTCCTATTTATAAAACTGGGCTTAGGGAGGTCCAGAAAACAATGTAATTACATACACAAAATAGCAAATCAAATTAAATAAATCAATAAATATATAAGCAAATTATACCAAGAATAAACCAATGTATTCATTTACTGTAGGAAAAAGGAATAATATAATTAAAATATATCAACTATACTACCAAATATTAAAAGCAGATAACGTAGATAAAGATAATATATAATATAAAGATCCAACAGTTAAGAAAACCATGGGACCTGGTCAGTGGCGTACACATGACCCATGGGGCCCCGGTGCAAAAATGGATCCGTGGCCCTCCCCCCCCGCGCTTACTCGACGCGGGTCGGGGTCGCAACACATGGTGGCGGGCACCTGGTCGCATGGCTGCAACCCCGCGACCGGGGTATGCACACACACTTAAAGGACCACTACAGACACCCAGATCACATCAGCTCAATGAAGTGGTCTGGGTGCCAGGTCCCTCTAGTTTTAACCCTGCAGCTGAAAATATAGCCGTTTCAGAGAAGGTTAATTGACAGCTGCTAGAGGAGCTTCCGCGACACTGAACGTCCATAGGAAAGCATTGAGTAATGCTTTCCTATGGGCGGTTTAAATGCACGCGCGCCTCTTGCCGCGCATGTGCATTTCGGAGCTGAGAGGCGGCCACTGGGGAGTCCGACGCTGGAGAAAGGTAAATGCTGAAGACACACACACACACACACTCTCACGAACAGACACATACACACTAGCTAACAGACACACACATTTACTGACAGAGACACACTCAGCGACAGACATACATACACACTCACTTACAAAACATACACTTTCATTGACAAACACACACTCACTAACAGACATCAAACACACTCAGTAACAGACACACACAGTAACACACTCACTAGCAGACACACACCCAATAACAGACACATTCACTGTCACACACACTAACACAAACAAACACTGACACACACACATACACTAACACACACACACTAACACACACATACTAACACACATACACTAACACACACGTACACTAACACACACGTACACTAACATACACTAACACACACTAACATACACTAACACTAACACACACATACACTAACATACACTAACACACACTAACATACACTAACACTAACACACACATACACTAACACACACACACACATTTTTTTTTTCAAATTTAATCCCCCCAGCCTCCTTACCTTTTGGAGTGCTGGGGGGATTCCCTGGGGTCCAGTGGTGGTGCTGCTGGGCTCCTGGGCGGCAGGTCACTGGGTGGGCGGGCTGTCTGGGCGGCCGGCGCGCGAGGGAGCACTTTCCCCTGTGTGCTTCCTCTTCAGCTCCCTCGCGCGCCGCGTAGGGATGCCGGCGCCGGAAGATGACGTCATCTTCCGGCTCCGGCATCAGTGCGGTGTGCGAGGGAGCTGAAGAGGAAGCACTGAGTGCTCCCTCGCGCGCCCGCCTGCCCGGTGACAGCAGGGCCAGCCTCGGGGGGGCCCTGAGGTGGCCGGCTCCTGGGCCCCCCAGGGGAAGAGGCTGGCCCTGGTGGGCCGGGCCCGGTCGCAACCGCGACCCCTGCGACCCTGGTTTGTACGCCACTGGACCTGGTGTTACTTAACTGAGGGAGCAGCAAAGAAAGAGGAAGTAGATTACGCATCATCGCCTATTATGCTGGAGAGTAGAATCTAAGAGTGCATGTTCCTGTCGCTAGGAAGATATACCTCTCATGCTATTTATTGTTATCAAACCGTTTGAATGTTAAAGTTTTTTCTTTACTGCTGAGGGAAATAAAGAAAGAGTTTAGCATAATAGGAGCCTCCATGTCTTAATAAAATCTGTACTTATTGTAAAAAAGAGGGCATACATAAAGCAATTCCGCAAGTTCTTCAGGGGTAAATAAAGTCTCTTTAACCTTCAAAAAGGTACATTATAAGTACTGGAACAGGCAGCTAATGTGATATTCAGTCTTGCAAACAAGTACACATGTACATTGATAAACACACAGGAGCAGACTGACAACTCACAGCACTCCCCGGGCAATAGGGTATCAACCCCTTATGCCCTGCCCACATATAAGCACCTTTTACATGTAAATCCTTGTTATAGAATTTATTTCTTACTGATACACGTATTCTGACTACAACACACACACACACACACACACACACACACAAATACTCATTGAAACACACACACACTAACCCCACATGTACACTGTAGACTCTCAGGTACTACTCTTACTGAGGCTTATAATAATGATTAATCAACAGCATTAAAAAAAAAATCCCCTTTATTTTGTCGCAATTTGCATTACATACCTGTACATGCTTCCAACAGAAGTTTAACACAATATTATTTGAATATCATCTGCTATAAACACAGAATAAACAATCAAGTTCAAATTGAACAATGTGTTTAGAGACATGGATGAACGGGTTCATTGAGTTGGGACAGAGTGAAAATTGGCTTCTAAACTCATCCTCCTTGAAGCAGAGCTTTTACACTTACAGAGTTATTTACTAAAGTGAGAACTGCAGGGAATCAAAAGTGAATTTCAAATTGAAGACCATCATACAAGTATATCTGGGGCCCATTCAGACCATTGTCTGGAAATCTATTCACAAAAGGCCTATGCATCAGAAAACAAGATCACACCTTTAGACTGGAAGAAAGGAGATTTTGTCTAAGGCAAAGAGAAGTTTTTTTTACAGTAAGAACAATAAGGATGTGGAATTCTCTGCCTGAAGAAGTGGTTTTTAACAGAATCTGTATAGATGTTTAAATAGCTTCTGGATGAATACTTGTAAAACATAGTATTCAAGCATATAATATTTAAATTGTGGGGTAATAGTTCCTTTAACCCCTTAAGGACAGAGCTTCAGAAGCTTGTCTTTCACTTAATGACAACAGCATTTTTTTCATTTTTTGCTGTTTGCTTTCAACTGCAATTTGCATTTTACTAATTTATTGCACCAACACATATTATATATCGTGTTTTTAAAGGACAGAAAGGGCTTTAATTTGACGTAAGACACACACACACACACACACATATATATATATATATATACACTTATTTATTATATAAAAATACAGAAAAATGCAAAAAACAATGAAAATATTTGTTTTTTTTACAGTTTTTGCAATAATAATGTGTGCATAATAATGCAGGTTAAGGAAAGTAATTAAAAATAAATTCATTTAGTTGTTCTGATTTACAGAATATATAATGTGTCTGGGATTTTAAGTTTTTTTTTTTTTGGTAGTTACAGGTCACAAAGCACAAGGAGTAAAATAAACTTTTAATGTGGAGCGATTTTAGAATTTGGTATGTTTGTCTTGTAAGCTTAATAGCCATAAAAGAAAACAACATTACCACACAAAAGTATATATTTATATAAAGTAGACATCACGGGCTATTTACCTAAGGTTGTTTTGACCCTTTCTACGTAGCCATTTCACCGCCAACCTCTGCTAAATATTGGAGTAAAATTGTGTTTTTTGGGGTGTTTGGCACACAAAGAAATTCTCATGTGTATTTTGTAACGTTGGTGTGTGCTATTCCTGTACAAAGTTTGATTTTGTGTTCAGTTACATCTGCTGAGTAAAATGACACCCCCATTGTATGTCTTTGGCACTATTTCGAGAAGCTACAGTGCCATATAGGAGGCCTGTTCTTTTCAGTATTCACAGTAGAATTTTGAGACAGATTTAATGAGCCTATGCTTCCATTTGGGGTATTATAACAGTTTAACTGTTCAAAAAAAAGCCCACAAAGGCCTACCATTTGTAAAAGTAGACACTCCACGGTATCTCATATGGTGCATATTGTACCTTAACATGCCCCTATGTGATAAAAAATTATTTTGTGCGTTTTATTTACATATGGTTTGCATTTTTGCTGGGCATTTTGTATATATTTCACATGTGCAAAACTGCAAGTTCAAACTGCCCAAATTATGCTTGGCTAAGTCTTCTGAGTAAAAAGACACCCCCAATGAATGTCTTTGGCACTATTTCGTGAAGCTACAGTGCCATATAGGAGACCAAGCCATATCCGTTTTTACCAAACTTTGAATTTTGACGCTGGGCCTATGTGCAATTTCCAAGCATCTTAGCAGGGTTTAAATTCAAACTACCCCACAAAGGCCTACCATTTCTTAAAGTAGACACCCCAGGGTATTTCAAAAGGTATATTTTGAACCTTAGCGTGGGATCATTTTTCCACTAGCTTGTACCAAGTGTAGTGGTAATAAGTGTTTTTTCTGCCTTTTTGACACACAAAGTGAGTTTGCACAGTATATTTTGCAAACCTTATGTGTGCTACCAGTGTATAATACTTCATATGTTGCTCAGCTATGTTGGCTTAGTACAGCAATACCCCCGTATGTACCTTTGCCATGTTCCAATTTGAAGTAGTTTAGACGGTTGGTTATTGAAACTTCCCCACAAACACATACTATTTATTAAAGAATACACCCTGGGGTAATTCAAAAGGCATATTTTGAACCTTAGCGTGGGATCATTTTTTCTCTAGTTTGTTCCAGGTGTAGTGGTAATGAGCATTTTTAAATGTTTTTTTTTTTTTACTTTTTGAAACTTTTTTTTACTTTTAATAACTAGTTTTTAAACTTTCCTAAGTCTGTCAGTTTGGTTCAAAATAGACCTGAATCTCTTACATAGAATAGTGCAGACAGATCAGAAAAAAATGTATCATTAAAAGTTCACTATAGACTAGCTAAAAGATAAGCATTCACTTACTGATTTAAGTACCCTTGTGTGGCTTCTTACAATGTAAACTATACAATAGAAGCTCAGAAATACAGCAGGTCTGTTCTATAGAATAAAACTCTTTTTCTTTCACTGATACATTTTTTTCTGATCTGTCTGCACTATTCTATGTAAGAGATTCAGGTCTATTTAGAACCAACCTGACAGATACTTTATAAATCAAAGACTGCTACTTTGTAACGACTGAATACACAGCACAGAGAAATGTATCTTTATTAACAGCACAGAGAAAAGTCTATCTGCCATTGTGTAACTGCTAAACAAAACAATATGAGGATTGCATCCAAAATTAAAGGGACACTATAGTCACCTGAACAACTTTAGCTTAATGAAGCAGTTTTGATGTATAGAACATGCCCCTGCAGCCTCACTGCTCAATCCTCTGCCATTTAGGAGTTAAATCCCTTTGTTTATGAATCCTAGTCACACCTCCCTGCATGTGACTTGCACAGCCTTCCATAAACACTTCCTGTAAAGAGAGCCCTATTTAGGCTTTCTTTATTGCAAGTTCTGTTTAATTAAGATTTTCTTATCCCCTGCTATGTTAATAGCTTGCTAGACCCTGCAAGAGCCTCCTGTATGTGATTAAAGTTCAATTTAGAGATTGAGATACAATTATTTAAGGTAAATTACATCTGTTTGAAAGTGAAACCAGTTTTTTTTTTTTCGTGCAGGCTCTGTTAATCATAGCCAGGGGAGGTGTGGCTAGGGCTGCATAAACAGAAACAACGTGTGATATGAATTTAAACCACAACAACGTGATTTAACTCCTAAATGACAGTGAATTGAGCAGTGAAATTGCAGGGGAATAATCTATACACTAAAACTGCTTTATTTAGCTAAAGTAATTTAGGTGACTATAGTGTTCCTTTAAACTCAGTAATAATTGTAACTGCTTTATATAACTAAGGGTGACACTTCAGGACTGATTATCTCATTTAGTAATTTTGATTGATATTGGCTAAATATACTATACGATCAACTTTGTAAATAGGATCTGTACTGTTATCTTACAGACAGATTTGGGACTACTTTCCCTATTTTAAAATTGCTTGTCACACTTGTTTTATTTTATGCATTAACATATTAAAAGTTAAGTTTTATTAATAGACATAGTAAGACAAAATTTTGATATTTTTTCCCCTAACCTCTGGTGACACCTACGGGTAGTTTTTTATTACTACAATTTTTAATTTTTGTTTTATTTCTAATTCTTTTGCTGTTTAGATATATATAGATATTAGGGGTTACCCCCCATTTTCTCCTACTACCACTAGATTGCTCACCGTCCAATTAAGGCTCGATTAAAGCTTTTGTTCTGGGTAATAGTTTCTTGATCCAAGGATACATCTGACTGCCATTGTGGGGGTCAAGATGGAATTTTTTACTAATTTGTTGCAAAATTGGAAGTGCTTCAACCTTTTTTTTAAAATAATTTTGTTGGCTTCTTTTGGATGGACCAACAGCAAAAAAAAAACAGAGATGAGAAAGGCTGAGCTTGATGGACATGTGCCTCTTTTCAGCCTATATAACTATATAACTATAAAGGTGTTTGGAAGATTTTGATCTTAAATTTGAAATTCACTTTGAATTCCCTCCAATTCTCACTTTAATGAATAACTCTTTATATTCGCAAATATATATTTATAAATAAAAAAAATAAAATGTAAGACATACATATACAGTTGCAAGGAAAAGTATGTGAACCCTTTGGAATGATATGGATTTCTGCACACATTGATCATCAAATCTGATCTGATCATCATCTAAGTCACAACAATAGACAATCACAGTCTGCTTAAACTAATAACACACAAAGAATGAAATGTTGCCATGTTTTTATTGAACACACCATGTAAACATTCATAGTGCAGGTGGAAAAAGTATGTGAACCCCTAGACTAATGACATCTCCAAGAGCTAATTGGGGTGAGATGTCAGCCAACTGGAGTCCAATCAATGAGATGAGATTGGAGGTGTTGGTTACAGCTGCCCTGCCCTATAAAAAACACACACCAGTTCTGGGTTTGCTTTTCACAAGAAGCATTGCCTGATGTGAATGATGCCTCGCACAAAAGAGCTCTCAGAAGACCTACAATTAAGAATTGTTGACTTGCATAAAGCTGGAAAGGGTTACAAAAGTATCTCCAAAAGTATCTGCTGTTCATTAGTCCACGGTAAGACAAATTGTCTATAAATGGAGAAAGTTCAGTACTGCTGCTACTCTCCCTAGGAGTGGCCATCCTGTAAAGATGTCTGCAAGAGCACAGCGCAGACTGCTCAGTGAGGTGAAGAAGAATCCTAGAGTGTCAGCTAAAGACTTACAAAAGTCACTGGCAAATGCTAACATCCCTGTTAGCGAATCTACAATACGTAAAACACTAAACAAGAATGGATTTCATGGGAGGATACCACAGAGGAAGCCTGCTGTCCAAACAAAACATTGCTGCACGTTTACAGTTTGCACAAGAGCACCTGGATGTTCCACAGTAGTACTGGCAAAATATTCTGTGGACAGATGAAACCAAAGTTGAGTTGTTTGGAAGAAACACACAACACTATGTGTGGCGAAAAAAAGGCACAGCACACCAACATCAAAACCTCATCCCAAGTATGATGGTAGGGGCATCATGGTTTGGGGCTGCTTTGCTGCGTCAGGGCCTGGATGGATTGCTATCATCGAAGGAAAAATGAATTCCCAAGTTTATCAAGACATTTTGCAGGAGAACTACCAGCTGAAGCTCAAAAGAAGATGGGTGTTGCAACAGGACAATGACCCAAAGCATAGAAGTAAATCAACAACAGACTGGCTTAAACAGAAGAAAATATGCCTTCTGAAGTGGCCCAGTCAGAGTCCTGACCTCAACCTGATTGAGATGCTGTGGCATGACCTCAAGAAAGCGATTCACACCAGACATCCCAAGAATATTGCTGAACTGAAACAGTTCTGTAAAGAGGAATGGTCAAGAATTACTCCTGACCGTTGTGCACATCTGATCTGCAACTACAGGAAACGTTTGGTTGAACTTATTGCTGCCAAAAGAGGTTCAACCAGTTATTAAATCCAAGGGTTCACATAATTTTTCCACCTGAATTGTGAATGTTTACATGGTGTGTTCAATAAAAACATGGCAACATGTCATCCTTTGTGTGTTATTAGTTTAAGCAGCCTGATTGTCTATTGTTGTGACTTAGATGATGATCAGATCACATTTTATGACCAATTTGTGCAGAAATCCATATCATTCCAAAGGGTTCACATACTTTTTCTTGCAACTGTATATAAACACACACACACACACACACACACACACAAACACACATTTTTCTCAGTGTAGTGATGGGAAAAAAGGAAACATTAATATACTGAAGCTATTTAATTTAAATTGCCCTATAACCTGTTAAAATAAGGCTGCTATTTTAAATGATAGGCAGTAATACCACTGATCAAAAAGCAAGAGTCCATATAGAACAGGTGGTAAAAATAATACATTAGACTTATATGATAAGACAAAACCACTGTTATACACAAATGTAACATGAGCCTTAGAAATGGAAAATATTTCCAATAAGATAATCCACTAGGGATCTATGAATTATTCCCTGTCTCTGGAACGTACAGTGAAATGTCAGGCACTATATTGTGGCTGTCACAAGGCCAAGTCTCTTCTCAGATCCTCATCCTGCCAGTTTTACAAGGAATCCATGGTCAAATAATGTGCACACATATGGAAGACCTTATTGTTCAACGCAGACAGCAACGAATCCATTGGCCATGAAACCAGGACAATGAAATAACATATGTTTTCAGCTTATTTACTGCTTTACCCACCCTATCATGGACCACAATGTTGTTGTTTTTTCCGCCATTTAAATGTTTTAGTTGATCTCGTCCAAAGGGGGTATAGGTATCCTACTCAACACACCTTCAATAATAGAGGAATCCTGCCCGAGCTGAGATGGCCTTCCAAATTATAGCCATTTATAAAAAGCATGTGAATGGTTCAACTTGTCGGATTGTAGTCCACCTTATGTTGGGTTTTATAGGTTGCTACATCATACAGAGAGGCTCTGTAGAACTGTGCGTGAAGCCTCCTCGCCTTTTTCACAGCAGATGTCCAAGAATTGTCTTACTTTGTTTGTTAAGGTGATCTTTGAATTGATAACCTCATACTCATCTCTGGAGAAGATCTGGGAGGACCTCAAGATGTCCAACAGCCGATTCAGTTTTCCCTCGGTCATATCTTGCACAAGACTTTCTCTGATTTCAATCAGTGTTTTAGTTGAGTTTCTGTTCTGTACATGATTTGGAGGCCTTGACGGGCCTATTAGAGAAAAGAAAGAGATTGATAGCCAGTGAGATACAGGACAACAAGATCAAGTGACAAATCCCCATGCCAATTAGCAGATTGATGGGCATAGGGGCAGAGATTTAAACTATAGGTCTGCGAGTAACGCTGCAAGTGATTTTTCAAGCGGCATGGAAGATACATAAAAGTATTGTTGGAAAGCATCCAATCAGTGCACTTCAACTGAAGAGCACAGATTTGTACTCTGGATAGACTCTGCACAGGAAATAACTGGTGGCCTTGTGTATTTTAATGCACAATGATATATTGGTTAAAGGAGCAGTATAGGTTTCCTGAACCACAAACATGTATTTCTGACCCTATAGTGTTAAAACCACCACCATTTTGGTGGTTTGCCCCACCCTTAGAAGGGGTTAAAACTCACTTTATTTCTAGCACCACGCGTGTCTGCCGGTGCTGTCCCCGTCCCGCTTGCTTGGTGACATCAGAATTGCTGATTTTTAACCAATCCAATGCTCTTCCATAGGCTAAAATAGTCAAGGAGGCTGGGCGGGGGCAGGGTCAAACGCAGTTTGGGCCAATCAGCACCTCATCATAGAGATGCATTGAATCAATGCACCTCTATGAGGAAAATTCAGCATCTCCATGCAAAGCGTGGAGACGCTAAACGGCAGTTCTGTCTACTGTGCAGCACTGCCCCAGGATGCACTTCCAGTGGCCATCTGAGGAGTGGCCACTGGAGGTGTCCCTAGGGGGCAATGTAAACACTGCCTTTTCTCTGAAAAAGGCAGTGTTTTCATTAAATTCCGGCAGTTAATGATTATAATCACCAGAACAACTACATTAAGCTGTAGTTGTTCTGGTGTCTATAGTGTCCCTTTAACAATTGGTCCGTTTATTAGGTAGATGCATAGAGTGTTTGCAATGAGTGACTGCAGGAATGTTGCAAAAATTACTTGACACCACCAGTGTTCGTATCAAGTAGTGAAGATTTGTATGGTCTATGTAAAAACATTAAAGAAAAAAAAAAAAACATAAATAATGGGAGTAACATGTAAAAAAATAAAAGCAGTATTGACAAATTTGTATGTGGTAGTAATAACATTTTACATTATTATCAGGGCCAATACAAAAAAGCTTTCTGTAAACTTGTTTATACATAGAAGTGTACAAAGGACAATTTGAAGAAAGAAGAGTTTGTCTGATACAGGTATTATAGAGTTAGACCAATACAGATGTGCAACTTGCTCCCTGAAGAGGTTATTTTATTAGTTTATCTACTGATGTATAAATATCTGGATTTATATCCGGGAAAAGTAAATTATTAAAGGATATAATGTTTAAGAAGTGGCTTTTAAAAAAATAATTTCTATTTATTTTAGTTAACACAATTTTGTTTAATGCAGTTATACACACACAGCAGAAATAACTAAGACAAACGCAAGAGCCGAAACCGGAAGCAGAAGTGAAAATTCAATTACGGCTGCCGGGGACGCCGGGAAAAACCGCCAAAGGAGCGCATATTTAAAAAGGACTATCCAGAAATAGAACCCAGCAACTGAGGAAGCCTCTAAAGGAGGCGAAACGCGTTTTGCATCTTACACAAGGACTACTTTTAAACTGTAAGGTTTTCCATCTATTTATTTATTTTATACATTTTATGGAATTTGTGTGCATTTCCAAATAAAGCACTTTATTTTTTGCTACATCGTGAGAGGACATCTATTCATTGGGCACCCCAGACAATAGCAAGAAGGAAGTGGGTCCCTCTAGTACCCACAGAGCTACATATCTGAGCCTTTTTAGTGGCTCTGTGTTTGTGAGTGTTTTATCATTCATATATTGCACTGAAATATTGTGGATTGGCTATATTGCACTATTTCTCTTTTTATTTATGTTTTACCTTAGCGAACTGCTAAAGGACATTATTTTTTTTTCATCTACTATTGGAAGAATTATTGCCTGCATACTCCACCTTATATTGTATGTATTTCTCAAAGTAAAGAGAACGATATATTTCACGTTTCTACTAAATGCCTGCTTCCTTGCTCTACCTGCACCTGATTATTGCACCCCTTGGTACCCCAGACATGTGGTTAAGTCTTTAATCTTCAAACCTACTGTTCATACCTCCTGATCTTGGCTCATGGTGTGAGCAGCCTCTTGTCAAGTTGAATTTATTGTGGTGCCTGGCATTTTCACAGGGAAGGCTGGTGCCGTTCATATGGCTGGCAACAGGAAGTGAGGGACTACTGGTTTGCACGGATTGCACTGAATTAGGACAAGGCAGGCTGGCTGCAAGTAAAAAAAATGGAGGACAGAGTGAACAAAATGTTAAATATTAAAGGGAAACATTACTTTGTAGAATAAGAAATATTATGTTTAAATACCCGATATATTGAACAAATACCTGTTTTTGAGGTCTATAAAAGAAAATGTAATCCAAAACACTGTATTTAGCTCTACCTTGGAAGAATCCATCTTGGTTCCTTGTTATAAATCTATCATTGTTATAAATAAATAAATAAATAAATAAATAAATAAATAAATAAATATATATATATATATATATATATATTTTTTTTTTATTTATTCCTGTCAGTCAGTATACAAAGAGGAGGTGAAACAGAAACAATCAAGGTTATTCACTAAATTGACATTTGTCAGTAATTCAAAATTAATTTAATTTTCAAATTTAAGGCCAAAATAGCCAAACTAGAAAAAATTCTCCAAGTCAGCTATGCTTTCAGTATAGCTATTTTGGCCTTAAATTTAAAATTCATTCAGTCATTCCTTCCAGTCATTTCTCACTTTAGTAAATAACCCTGTATGTTTTGGTTTCTCTTCGTAATTTGTAATGGGTTCCTTTGCTAGGCCAGAACTGTACTAGATTATGATGCCATCTGCCAAATCTTTAATATACATTTAAAAGACAATTGAGCATCACATGATAAAAAAACAAACAAACATAGCTTAACTTTATTAGTAATAATAAAGAGCACACAACAGTTTTAAAGCGGTTGTGTCTCTCTCTTGCCCTCATAAAAATTGAGTATTTCATAAAGATAAAATTACTGTGTTGGAATTGTGCTGATTTTCAAGTTCAGTCAAACAATCTTATAATACAAAGAAGGGACTTTGAGATGTTACAAGGCATTCTGCGTTATTCAAATGTGATAATGTTACATATTGCTTCCCTGGGCCTTTGCCTTATTAGGTTAACCCCTTAAGGGCCAAACTTCTGGAATAAAAGGGAATCATGACATGTCACACATGTCATGTGTCCTTAATGGGTTAAAGGATCACTATACGGTCAGAAACACAAACATGTATTCCTGACCCTATAGTGTTAAAACCACCATCTATCCCCCTAGGCCCCTCATGCCTCCATAAATATAGCAAAATCTTACTGTATTTAAGCCTGAAGCTGTAGATCTGCATGCTGTTTGCCTCAGAAAAAAAAGTTGTCTGCTGACATCATCAGAAGTGGTAGCCTGATCCAATCACAATCCTTCTCAATAGGATTGGCTGAGACTGACAAAGAGGCAGATCAGGGGCAGAGCCAGCATGATTCAAACACAGCCCTGGCCAATCAGCATCTCCTCATAGACATGAATTGAATCAATTAATCTCTAAGAGGAAAGTTCAGTGTCTGCATGCAGAGGGAGGAGATACTGAATATTTGGATGCATTTTAGACAGCCATGAACCAGGAAGGATATCTAACAGCCATCTGAGGAGTGGTCAGTAAAGTTATCACTAGGCTGTAATGTAAACACTGCATTTTCTCTGAAAAGACAGAGTTTACAGCAAAAAGCCTGAAGGTAATGATTCTACTCACCAGAACAAATTCAATAAGCTGTAGTTGTTCTGGTGACTATAGTGTCCCATTAACCATATCACACTCCAATATGGATTACCCCGTTAAATATATTATTTATACTGGTAGCTAACCAAAAGAATGAACAATGTCTGCATTTTTCAAAATAATTCACTGCGAATATTCCTAAAGGGTTACTCCAAGTACAATGACCACTTCAGTGATTTGAAGTGGTCATGGTGCAGTGTTTTGCTATGTAGCTCTGCACATAAAGAGTTTAACCTCTGGGGTTGGCTGGGTACAGACCATATCTGGAGAAGTCTGCCAGTCTCAAACGGACCTCCAATGATATGCGGAGATTTATGCAAAGTAACAGACCACTCTGTGTATCTCCTAGCAACTATGTAATAGAAATCTCACACATGGGAACATTGATCAGCAGACAAGAGGCGATGAGCCTTCATTGTAACCTCATATAAGTGAATTAGTAAAAATGTAGGTATTTGTAGTTGGCATATGTAGTGGGCGATATAGGATGTACAGATGGGTGTACAACAGTGAATACCATCACAATAGAACAAGGACACATCGACAGCATCTGATATAGGAGGCAGACAGAGGTGACACAAGGTGTACAAAGACACACACACACTCCTTACCACTTCTTTGCGATTTAAACTGTATGACTCCTCTGTGACTTTTCTCAGGTGTGCTCTGGGTTCGGTTTCTCTGAACAGTTTTGCCGCTGACCATCGAGCAATAAAACTATAATAAAATAAAGTGCACAGGATTGCTGAACATTAAATCCTGCTTCATGCGAGTGCAAGCTTCTCAGTTTACTTATTTGAGAAGCTATGATGAACTGAAAGTGTAAATGGAAATTACATAATTCTATCACTTCCTCTATTCTAGCAATCAGAAGGCACACTTTGTAAAAGAGTAATCATGGAATTACAGTGCATGCACTAAAGTTGCGGTGCCACATCGGAAGTATAGAGGGCTATGCTGTCAGAATAAAGCTCTGAAAAATGATTGGCAGGTGAGGTAAGGAACAATTGAAAAAAAAAATGTATTTCTGCCTGCACAACATATACATGTTTTTTGGATCTATAACATAATACAAACTGTTGTGTACTATGGCAGGTACACTCTAAGATGGTGTACAATAAATGTTTGTTTTTTTCTAAAAATTTAATACACATATTAGAAACAAAGATCTTAATAAAACATGGCAAATGTAACACTTACATCCAAAAATGAGATATCATATTCCTGTACTGGGCTTTGGAATGCCTTCTCTGCCATCTCCTGGAACAACCAGACATTGTAATTAGTACTCTTACTGATAATGGGATCATATAACCAAGCCATCCATAGGGTATGCACACATTTAAAAAAAACAAAAACATTTTAAAAAAAGTTTTAGGATTTTCAAATCAGAACAAACAAAAAAAGCATGAAAATGATAATAATATAATATTTTCGCCACTGCGTGATTTGGTTAGTCCATATTCGGCTTGGACATCGGAAATGTGGCCATACACCTGATCGGCCTATATTCGGTCAACTTGCAGTTGGATCCACAACTAATCTCCAAGTCTAGCATTAAACCAGATGTTACAATCATAACTTGGTTTGGTTTTACTTAATTATGCTTGATGTTATATAAATCTTCTCTATGTTAAAATGATTACTGTCCTTCAAAATTGTATCTTGCCAACCCCTCTCCCATTTTTTTCCCAAAAGATTCCTGTGTAAGACGCCATGACTTATAACTATCTACATTAAAAAGTTGGACTATAGCACCCTGACTATGCACATAAAGCACTGCTTCTGAGACATTCTCAACAGTGCTAGAAGGTTAACTAGGCATCATGACTGTCTGAGTCACTTCCTGGTTTGGAAGTTTCACTGCAGAAGTTGTTGTGGGTGGGGGATTTGAAAGAAATTAAAAAACTTCATAATTGAGTATTTTGTATTATTTCAAATGTACTGGTTTTCCTATATTTAAATGTATTATCTGTATAAGCAAATATGTTATTAAAACTAACTTTTCTGTATGTGACATTCTACTTTGAATAAAACAAACATTCATTATTTACTAAATTGTGAAACTGCAGGAATTCAAAAGTAAACTTCAAATTAAGGATAAAAATAGTTAAACTGAAAACAGAATTGATTTAAATAATTATACTGATTTCGCTATTTTGGCCTAAATTTTAAAAATCACTTTCAATTCACTGCAATCCTAAATTCAGTAAATAACCCTGTCTGCTTTAAAAACATGATTTAATTATTTTTTTGTATAATACATTTTATTAGATAACATGTCTCTTTAAAATCATGACCCTACAAACAATTTATTTAAGGATGGGACTGGGAATAGAGCAGGACTTCCCCAATGAGCAACGTACAGTATGGTTGGGAGCACAGTTAAAGGGGCACTCCAGGCATCAAAATAACGTTATCTAAATTAAGTAGTTATGGTTTCATGAGGCGCCCAGACGCACTTTAACTTTCAGGGGTTAAACCATTCTTGAACTGTTTAACCCCAAAGTTGCCTCCACCGCTGACTCAACTCCGACTTTTGAAATTTAAGTTCCAGTAATAGTGGCGTGCCATAGGGCATTGGCGATGCTGATTGGCTGAGGGCGTCAGGTGCCTTATGCTGCCTAAACTGCCCCTTTAAAAGTAGAATGTAGGATAATAGAGGCTACCTATTAACAAGTAAGCAAACCAGGATGCTTGGGTTCAGAACCAAAAATTTCCTATACATTTTATATAATGTGATACCACAAAAACTCAGTGTGTAGGCGACAACAGAAAAGTCTCACCTTTTGGAGTGAATTCACTGATTGCTCCATCTCCTCAACCGAGAAAGTTTGCTGGATTTTTCTGAGAAAGCCAAGACAATCTGAGAAGGGATAAACGTTTATTACTTTATTTATAACATAGTTTCCTCAACATCTGCAATTCGATCACTATAAAATGTGCATTTCAATTAATGGAGCCTATTATTAGGCTATATTGCCTGCTGCAAAATTAAGGATATTTTTATTAAAACTTAGTGATTTTTACTCCTGTGAATATGCCTTATCCACCTTGGACGTAGGGGAAACATATGTTAAAATGACCACCTCAAATTTTATATTTTTAGTAAAATTATATTGGTCAATGAACAAAAAAAAAAAAAGTCAAGTCAAGAGATATACGGAAACAAAGTATGGGTCGGCTGTCAGAGGAAGATGGCAGCACCCATGAGGTGCAGATTAGTAAATCTCAACTTTACCTGCCCCCTGGCCACCTGCCCCCAGCAGCGATGTCACTGTCAGGGGACTTTGCGACCTGTCAGAACCTGTCATAACAGACATTAATAACATAAAATGTGCAGAACAAACCCATGCTGCTACTCTCAAGGTCCTAAGAGGCCGTTATTGGAGCACATATTTGTTTTGTAAATTGATGTGGCAATTTGATATAAAAAAATGTATTTCTTAAACTACCACAACTAATGTCTACTAGCAAAACAAGATGGCTGCTTCCAGAAACTTATTTACTGCTTTTATTCACATATAACACGAGACTGCAAGCACAAACTCAGTAGAATACTATGACTACTGAAAAAGAATTTTGAACACCCCTTTTTTGTATAAACCTTTTATCCATGATATTTCAAAAATTAACAAACCTGGGTGATTTTCCTTAAAACTAGAACCCACCTGCCGTTGAAGGTCTCATTTTAGGATTCTGATGCCAGCAACAGTTGACAAGCTCAACTAGACCTGCACGTTGAGCACAGGACATGTTAGTGGCCTTTAGAAGAATGTCCATGCCCGGCTGTGGTCGAAGGCCCCTTGTAATCCCTGTCTCCAGCTTCAAGGGGTATTCTTTTTCTTCTGTGAAAGTTGAACACAGGTAAGATGAATAGAGAACGATGTGTGCATATAATAATTTTTTTACTATTAGGTTAGAAAAACATCTAAACTTTCATATAATTTTATATAATGTGCTACTTCAAAACCCTTGCAAGTTATTTATTTTAAGACACTAGATGGGATAGAACTGTATCAGCCTACGTAACTATGGGTAAACTGGATTACAATTAGAAATCACACTTTAAAAATTCCATCTGCCAATAGCAAGTGGAAATTTAGTCGTGGTGAGTAGAACTTCACCATTGATGAGTGTGTCATGGACCCTCCAGGCTTTCAGTGGGGAGTAATTTTTAAGCCTTGACTAGAAGTGTAGGACTTGAAATTTGAAGCCCTATGAATATTACCATTCCCATTTACAAAAATAGTTGGGGGCTTTCTGGATGCAACCAAAGATTGTATGATTAGAACACTTGAGAATCAGTTGTCAAGCTTATCAGCTGTTGGGACTGGATGGAGAAACTGTTTTATTTGTGAGATACAAGATTATTAGTTATGGTGTGGCGTGGTCATTGTTGATGGATAGAGGAAGATGGCTGAGGTAGCTACACTCATGGAATGTGAAGCTAGAAAGGTTATTAACTGGAGGGATTTAGAACATGGTGGTGATTGTGAAAGGCATGGGTGGTGTATAAGCTGTTGAGTCGCCCAGTTGTAGAAGTATTGTGTTAGTCAGCGAGGATACAGTCAGCTCTGAAAGGTGCATTAAGGAGGGACAGTTTTTATTAGCAATGGTAAACAGCAATATATAAAACTTACCACCATGAAATGGGGGCTGCCTTCTAAACATTCCATAACATGTCATCCCAAAGCTAGAAAAAAAAAAGTTATTGAAAAATGCAATATGTGATAGTATAGGCTGGATTTTGCTTTGGAATTCTGCAAGAAAAGCTCTTTTGGCGAAATTGTACTTTTCACATGCTGCATGAGTTTAAAAAACAATTATAAAAACAATATGAAACAAACACAAGTAACTATTTTGATACTGCACCCCACAAATGCCTCACAGGGTTATTCACAAAAGTAAGAATTCACTGTGAATTTCAAATTTAAGGCCAGAGCAGCCGAATGGAAAGCAAAGCTGAATGGGAGAGTTTTTTTCAGTTCGGCTATTTTGACCTTAAAGGGATTCTCCAGTGCCAGGAAAACAAACCAGTTTTCCTGGCACTAGAGAACCCTGGAGTGACCCCCTCCCTCCTGCCCCCCATCCCAATGAGCTGAAGTGGTGTGAGTGCCTACAGTGTCCCTTTAAATTTAAAATTCACTTTGAACTCACCTTTATTTTTCACTTTAGTGAAAAACCCTGTTAGACATTCGTATTATGCCGTATCAACATAGTTACTTATGTTTGGTAAGACAAAGTAAAATCTGTGGCATTGTTTCATATGCTGAAACATGCAGGATTGGATATACACCTGTAAACATCGTCTGCTGTGGATGGTTCATATCCCTGCAGCCTCTCCGGAGACAGATATACCCGGCATTGCTGATTGATTTCGTTAGAGGTCAAATATCGCAATGATTCCATCCCAAAGTCTGAAACCTGAAAATATGTATATTTTTTCAAATTCATTCTAAAGGTATGTAAAAAAACATGTTCTTAAAAGAAAAAGATTGTATACACTGAACTCCTTTAGATTTAACGAAGATAAATTCAAAGACACTTTCTTACTAAACTGTGACCACAAATCTCCCCCATGGTGAATGTACTCCTCCTAGATTGGCTATTTATGGGTAAACCTGCTGATGTTATTTGCCATTTACTGTCAAGAGCCCACTGATTAAATATGGAATATTATCTAAAGCTGCACTACCTGCCAGAGGGACGTATGTACAGAAATGGTCAAGCTGGCTCCCTCTCTGATTGCTGTGATAAACATAATAGGGATTTCTTGTAAATAATAATAAAAAATAAAAAAAAGCTGCCATATTTCCCCAGCAGGTTCACGTGCTTTTGGGAGGTACACGGATAGTTCTGCCACCTTGCATGTAGAACGTGCATACAGTCAATGGAAATCATTGAATTACCTCTGGAGGTATATGTACTTATTGAATGATCAGGAATAACTACCTTTATTTCTCCCTACAGTATGAGGACCTTGGAGCCATAGTTTAAAATGGTGAAAAATGATGAGAACATTTCAATTTAACCTGTAAAGAGAATTTTTCCTGGCTCGATCACCACCTCAAATCAATGGCTAATGGTATCTTTGTGAGCTTCACCCAAAATACATACTTTTTAGCAGTTGAAAAACTTGTGCGTTTCCCCTTCCCAGTGAATCACCCATTGCAACTGGACCATATCTCCTCACCTTTGCACGGTACTTTCCATCCAGAAGGATATTGCTTGGTTTAAGTGCTTGATGTACGAATTGAGGAGATAAACTGTGCAGGTGACACAGTCCCTCGGCGACATCTGCCAGGATCTGCACGCACACAAATGGTGGCAGTACTGGATACAGGTCTCGCTGAAAATAGACACAGCCCGTTTAGAGCATGGAAAGCGTTCATGGACATGGAGTTCATGGAGGGTTTTATTTACTAACTAGCTAAATATAAATCATTAAATATTATTCAGCTCAGCTATCGTCACAGCAAGAGTATGTCAGCATAAAATTAGTGAATAAACCCCTGAAGTATTTATCTGCATTATAGATAGCGGATTTTAACTTTTTGGTCACTGAGGCATAGGAGAAGGAGTAATGAGGCAGGGATGGTAAACACTTAATATAAGGAAAGAGTTAGGAAAATGAAGAAGTGATAGAGAATGTTGAAGGTAATATAAGGCAGGCACAGAGGAATACATCATAGGCATGGGGGAACCCAAACATGGAAGGTATGGGGGAACCCCAATAAGGAAGGCATGGGGGAACCCCAACAAGGAAGGCATGGGGGAGATCTAACAAGGAAGGCATGGGGGCGATCTAACAAGGGATGGATGAAAGTTGTAACAAGGTTGGGATGGAGGAAACGTAATTAGGGAAGGATGAAAGAGCTATTAAGGCAGTGTTGGAGAAGGTGCTATAAGTCAGTGATGGCAAGCACATTCTGCAAGTTAAACAGTTCTGCATTGTGGATTCCATGGCCTCTGACCTGGTAGATTAGAGCATGCAATGAGCCATTTGACATCCAGTCCAACAGGATCCCCAGAGTATTTCCATTTTGGTACGTGCCAATTATGGGAGCCAGGCGTTCAGATTTTATCTGCCGCATACATTCAACATGCTCGAGTATCTCTTGGCGTTGCCTGTTTGAAAAAGTAACACAAAGGAAAAGAATGTAACTAAGGTCTCATCAATTTGCTTATAGGCAAATTATCACTTATTGTGAAACATCAGATTTGATCCGGATATCCTATAGATGAGGGATGTAATCACTTAACATTAAAGTGTGTAGAGTAAAAGATTTTTTGCATAATAAAAGCCAGAATGGTTACATGCAGATTCCAAAGCAATAATGTTTCCAAACATAGTACCCTATATTTTTTACAAAACGTTTGTCAAGGATCCACCTATCCCGTGATCGAAAGCCGCCATTTAAAAACATTAACTGGGCTCACTTTAAAATAGCGAACGTATTCCTCTGATTTGGGGCTGTCTGTTCTAAGCATAATGGAAGACAGGCATGGATTGGCCACTGATAAACGGATGGAAGGCGATTGCCATTCATTCTCAGAGCTCATGTATGTGACATCATGTACGTAACATGTATCCTTTCCAGTTATGTGTCAAAAAGGAGGTGTCCATCAGCGAACTGACAAGATGCCCTAGTCACCCAGTGTTTGCCAGTCTGTCACCAATGAGAGAGAAACTAGTAAAATTAAGAGCCTCTCACAACAGGATCAGAAAAAGAAAATTATTTGATCAGGTTTTTTCATGCCCAATGTGGTAAAAACATTTTCCCTGTTCATTTTCCATGTCCAGCTCACCTCTCATCCAGTCCTGCAGAAGTTAAGTGTTTAAAAAAGGCGTACGATCCATTAGGTCCATAGCTGAGCCGCAATGCAATATCAGAGCTTGTTTGCACTAGCTGACATTTCCTCCCAAATCTGACGACTGGATTGTTGTTGAACATTCCTGCTAAGTGCGAGGTGTCAGAAGAACAATGATTATGGGAGGCCGGAAACTGTTGATCGCACAGAGTCTCACAGAAACATCAGGAGTTCGTTCGAGAATCTGAGAAAGGAAATCTTTATTAGTAAAATGTAATAAAAGTAAGAAGACATAAACGTGACATAATCATTGTTCAGTGTAGTGGTTATGTTGTGAATAGTTTCTGACTGTTTAGGAGTGGTTTGAGCAAAAAAAAATAATTTAAAAAATGGTGCTGTCCCTGGCACCCAGAGACCCCCCCTTTCCTCCAGACTGAATGGTAATAGAGAATTAGCTCTTCTGCAATGTTAATGCCAATTCAATTCAACCAGGATAGCGGCGATTGGCTGAGAATGATGATGGAGTAGGTTAGCCCCCGGAGGTATGACTTGCACCCCAGACATACTTGGCCCGGTGCTTGCCTAAGATTTAAAAAAAAACAAAAATTAAAATAAAAAAACAAAGTATATATATATAAAAAATATATATATGATATTGTCACTGGGTTCTGGAGAAATTCATAAACAGTTATGTAACCCTTGTCTCTGTCTTCTCTCTACAATATACAAATGACACATATATACTTAAACTATTTTAAGCTGTGAATATAAAAATGCAAATCTAAATCTACTAACTCTACACACTTGGTAGTGTTTTGTTATTTTGTACATACTGTTTGTCGATTGCCGGGTTGTTCTTGTAACGCTGATCTTTTAACCCCTTAAGGACACATGATGGAAATATTACGTCATGATTCCCTTTTATTCCAGAAGTTGTGTCCTTAAGGGCTTAAAGCATGAGATCGTGTTACTTTCCCCACATATATTCTGTGGAATCTGGAGTTTACACAGTTAAACCCCAAGAGCCAGGAAGCCTGGGTTCAGCTAGCTGTCAATAATCAACTTGCCAAACAGGAAAGTCTTGCAGCAATCTGACCTCATCAGCAGCCTTTTAACTGCTGCACTGCCTGACTGCTGATTACACTAGTAAAACATGTGCTTCCCTGCAATGTCTCAAGCGTAAACATCAAATTCCTAGACATGGTATTTACAGATATTTTAGATGACACAATATCAGAGTATTGCAGTATCCAATGAGACAAGCTTTTTCTCTCTTCCTCAGTTCTGATGCAAAACTGATTGAAATGATTGATCAGTATTGCTTCAGACCCGAGGAAGAGAGGAAATCTCTTGAAAGCTTGTCTTTGAATTATGTTAGTACAATTATAAAGGTATCATTGGATATTGCAATACTCTGATATTTTGGCATCTTGTCTATTGGACTAATACGGCTCATTCGATCTACACTGCTATGGCAGATATTTTAGGTACACCTCTCACATGTTTGTAAATATTTTATTATATCTTTTCACGTGACAACACTGAAGAAATGGCACTGCTACAATGTAAAGTAGTAAGTGTACATCCTGTATAACAGTGTAAATTTGCTGTCCCCTCAAAATAACCCAACACGCAGCCATTAATGTCTAAACCGTTGGCAAAAAAAGGGAGTACCTTCTCTGAAAAGGCGCGCATTAACAAAATTTTATCATTTTAATAACTGGCAAAGATATTCCATGAGAACGTACTTGTAGTCGCGGCAATCTGTTTGTTTGATTGTATGGTTGGTGCATGAACTAAACCCTCTGCTGAGCAGACTGTCCATTGATTTCAAAAATCAGTTTTGTATTTTTTTTATTTTTTTATTTTCATATTTACAAACCGGTCAGTATTGTATTTATATTATTTTGTGTTTTTCTTTTTTTTCTTTTCATATTTACAAACCGGTCAGTATTGTATTTAGATGGGAGCAGCTGAACATTGCACTATGGGTATATTGTGATAGAAAGCACTATGATATATACTGGGGGATATTTACCAACATGTTCTGAAACGTGGCAGTCATTATATTGATCGTATTTCTTAAAGTGATCTAAAAGTCGTGTTTTTCTTCACAATAAATGCCACCATATTTTCTTAGAAATTTCCATTTTAGAAGACCAAATGACTTATAGTGGATGAAAAATTCTGCCACTACTGTGGCAGAAAACGTGGAAGGAACGTAAACAAATCCATTGCATTAGAGAAAAATTGTGGATATTCAAAACTGACGGTTAAAGCACAAAAAAATAAGTAAAAAAAAATAACAATAAAAAGTCTAATTCATTTTATAAATTGCATTTGAAAATTCACAAAAATCTAGATGAGAAAGCGTTGGCAAAACTTTGATAAATCTTCCCCACTGTGTTTAAATTTTTTGCAGCAACGCTAATGACATAAGTACAGTTTATCACAAAAAAGGTAATGGCCTGGAGTCACAGGCTTACTGGAAAGGTAATGAAATGAGATACATATCTGCTGAAAGTATCTCTGGTATGTAGACACTTGTAAACTTTTTTGATGTGTGTCATTCCTTATATAATGCGTTTTACATTGAGACTTGCCAGTGGAAGGGGTAAGTGTCCTTCCCAAAGGATATACCTTATGAGTCAATATTGAATACAATGAAGGAGCATCAAATGAGCTATGATGAGTTATGCTCACATGCCAGAAAGCAATAAAAATAGTGTAAACAACAAGAAGGAGCGTGCTTCCTCAAATTAAAGACTGAATAATGCTGTCAAAATAACACTAACATGTTGGGATGGGCAGTTATTGTTACAGGAACAAAAGACCAGAAGATATTATATTCACCGCCTGCTGGTGTTTATTGAATAAACAGTGAGATATATTGAAGTAAAATAGAAGATTTTTTTTGTTTTTTGCAACTCTGTTATTTTGACTTACAGAGTTACCATAGGCATCCCTAGCCACAACTCTTCTGGGATTGACTCACACAGCCTGCATGAAAAAAATGGTTTCATTTTCAAACAGGTGTTAACACGCTTTAGAAGATGTAATCTCCTGCTCTGTAAATTGAACTTTAAATCACACACAGGAGACTCCTGCAGGTGCTAACGGGCTAGTTACAGAGCAGAAGATAAATTCTAAATTAAACAGAATGTGCAATAATGGAAGTTTAAACATTAGATCTCTATTTACAGGAAGTGTTTACGAAGACTGAATAATCCAGTTGCAGGGCTCTAGTCACACCTCCTTGGGGACGATACCTGCCTGGGAGAAGCAGGAGAGGCAGAGAGGTCGATACCGGTCTGCAGGAACGGCGCTACCATAAGGTGAATAAGGCATTCACCTGAGGCGCCGACCCATTGGGGCACCCAAGGAGAGGTTTCCTGGTGGGCTGCCCTGCTGGGCGAGCAGCTACTTAGCCACCCCCTAGCACAGACATTTATCTGCGAAGTTCCTCTCTGACGATATCTGCTGTAATCCAGCACCCGAGCAAAGCACTCAAAGTAACATTGTGTGTGTGTTAGTGACAGTGTGCATGTGACACTGTATATGTCAGTGAGAGAGTGTGTGTGTTAGTGAGTGTGCAAGTGACACTGTATGTCAGTGAGAGAGTGTGCATTAGTGAGAATGTGTTAGTGACACTGTGTGTGTATGTTAGTGAGAGTGTGTAAGTGACACTGTGTATGTCACATATCAGTGTGTGTCAGTGAGAGTGTGTAAGTGACACTGTATAATAGCGAGTGTGCAAGTGACACCATGTCTGTGTTAGTAAAAGTGTGTAAGTGGCACTGTATGTCAGTGAGAGTGTGTAAGTGACACTGTGTATGTCAGGAAGAAAGTGTGTGCTAATGAGAGTGTGCAAGTGACACTGTGTATATCAGTGAGTGTAAGTGACACTGACACTGTTTGCCAGTGAGAGTGTGTAAGTGACACAGTGTATGCCAGTGAGAGTGTGTTAGTGAGTGTGTGTGTTAGTGAGTGTGTGACACCAGTGAGAGTGTGTGTGTTAGTGTGTGGCCATGTAGAGAGATTATTATATATTAAATTATATTTATAATATATTAAATTTTTATTAAATATTATGACAAATTTTTTTTTATAATTAAAGTTCACTGTCTCACCATGATTGTAAATTAAATCCCACCAGATACATTGATGTATGTTTTAGGCAGTATGATTGTTTGGATATATATATATTAGGCAGTAAGTACGTACTGATATATGCATTAGGCAGTATGAGTGTATGGCTGTATGTATTTGTGTGTGGATTTATGTATTGGGCTATGTATATGTATGTGTATGGTTGATTGTATTTAATAGGCAGTGTATATGTATGCATGGATGTTTTAGGCAGTTTGTGCATTTGGATGCATATACTGCCGGGGTGGGGAACCTTCGGCCCTCAAGATGTTCTGCACTACATTTCCCATAATACTATTAAAGCCATAATGCTGGCAAAGCAGATTCCAGGGAGATGTAGTTCACAACATGTGGAGGGCCAAATGTTCCCGACCCCTGATATACTGGATAAGTGTGTTTATATTGGGCAATGCGTCTCTTTCCCTAAAAGTGAGCTAACTGTGTCTCTCTCCTAAACTATCTCCCAGTTTCTGTTTCCTAAATATCTCAACAGTCACTCTATCCTTTCCTTAAATGTCTCCCCAGGCTGTTTCCGTTTTCTAAATTTCTCACTGTGCGTCTGCTTTCACTTAATGTCTACCCAGTGCCTCTCTTTACCTAAATGTATTTTCACTGCAGTTCAGAGTTTAGTGAATAAACCTCTGAGGGAACGTATTTGCATTCATGAGGCGGCGGTAAAATTAATGGTTGCCTAGGGCAGCAAGAATCCTTGAACCGGCCCTGTCTGTCTGGGAGAAGTAGGCTGGGTCAGAGGGGTCAATACCTGCCTGGGGGACAGAGGGATTGATATCTTCCTGGGAGATGGAGGCACGGGTAGAGGGATTGATACCTTCCTGGGAGATGGAGGCACGGGCAGAGGGATTGATACCTTCCTGGGAGATGGATGTACGGGTAGAGGGATTGATACCTTCCTGGGAGATGGAGGTACGGGTAGAGCGACTGATAACGGCCTGGGAGATGGAGGTGCAGACAGAGGGATCAATACCTGTGTGGGATGACAAGCCCTTTCATCGGCCAGCCCAGCTGAGGAAGCTGTAGCTGCTGGCTTGTCCACCGGTCTCAGTAACGGTCTATGTTATTAGACCAACATCCCCAATGGCGTTCTTCCACACCATTGTTACTGTTTCTCCTTCTTTCTCTACTATGACTACCAGATGAAAGGGGCAGAGCCTGTAATGGGGAAGGCAACCTTTGACACTCCAGATGTTGTGGACTACATCTCCCACAATGCCTTAATGATGTCAAAGCATCATGGGAGGTATAGTCCAAAACATCTGAAGTGCCGAAGGTTGCCTATCCCAGGCCTATAACAATTTTTGACATGGTTCCAAAATGGAAGCACGCAGTTCCATGAGAGATCTAAATCCAGTGTTGCAGAATTCTAAGTTTCATTGTATTTTTTAGAGCTCACAAACACATATTTGCTAAATATAGTATAAGTAAAGAGAGTATTAAAAATCCTGGAAAATTATAGTTCCCCTTTAAAATTATACTCAATTCCTAGACATCGCCAAAAACAATGCAGGGGTAAATGTGTTCTGTGTTTACCTACAACCCTACCACACCAATATACGTTTTAATAATGTGTGCTGGGATGAAGGAATGAGTTACTTTCACTTTCAAAGAAGTAACAGTTTTCCTTTAACTCACCCACTTTAAACTACATTCTTTCTGAAAATCACATTACCATTTGCAGGATCTAGACCAAGAGTGCCCAAAAAGTAGTACCCCAGATGTTGAGCAACTACAATCCCCATAATGCTTTGTTGGTCTTTAGAAGCTAAAAACTAACAAAGCATTATGGGGTTGTAGTTCTTCAACATCTAGGCTTCAAATTAAAAAAAGAAATATGGAAACCACTTTACAAGCTTACAGCAAAAATAGGACTGTCCAGCCCAAAATAGTGCCGATATAATCGACAAAATACAGCGTAGTCAGGATCCAAATATCCCAAAAAGTTAAAACGTGTTTTCTACAATCCATGTCTCAAAATATATATGGGCACATAGCGTCTTCACTTAACAATGCTCACAAATACATATCAATAAAATAATAAAAGCAACCACCCATGGATTATTCTTTGTAAATCAGGAAGCCATGGTAAGGACTTCTACCCCTCTATTTTTTGTCAAAGCAATGACAATATACTAATCCTTAAGGTTGGCTATTTTAGTCTAAAACATGGCATTCACTTGTCATTTTACCACAATCCAAGTTTATTTAATAGAGAAAAAAATCTTATATACTGCTATAGGCCAAATGGATATGATATAGACACAGCCAAATCAAGAACTAATTTTGCAACTAAGCTTTAAATGTCACTACGATTAAGTGTTGTGTGTATAAACCTCTACGGGGTATCCACTACAGCAGGGATAGGCAGCCTTTGGCACTCCAGATGTTGTGGACTACATCCCCCATAATGCTCTTACACCCATAATGCTGGCAAAGCATCATGGGAGGTGTAGTCCAAAACATCTGCAGTTGCCTATGCCTGCACTAAAGTGTCAATTCTCAGTTTAAAGTGAATGTCAAACTGTATGCTTAGGTGGCTAAATTGGAAAATTCTCCAAGTAAGCTATGTTTTATATTCAGTTATTATATGTTAAAATGTGACATTCACTTTGCTTTCATTCTTTAGTGAATAACTTTGTAAATGTAAATACGAGCACAGCCATACTAACTTAACAAGAACCGTACAGAAGCCCTGTACTGAAGGAGTTAATAGTCAGGACTAGCACAGTCGAGCCCTACCTTAGCCAGATCCTCTTAGTGGTACTGTGAATCGGTTGTTAGATTTCAAGCCAAGAGATAGAGAAACTTATTTTTCAAGCGATCCGATTTTCTAATTATTTTAACCGTCTCCGCATCTGACAATCCGATAGCAGAAAAGAAAATAGAATCTCAGCTGAAGACATTATATTTCGAATACAGAGATCACACACTGCAGTGTATACACACACACACACATACACACGCACTGTTTCATGTGATCATAAGCATTCCGTATAAAGAGTCACACCCACCACTACCTCCCAGCCTCAAAATTCCCCTTTATAGCTCTCTTTCTAATTAAAGGGACAGTAGTTTATAGAGCAAAATTAAATGAATTACTCTGACGGTCAAAAATTATTCTCCATCAGACTGCAATGTTCAGTTTGCCATGGATACATAAGTCGCTTCGCATTATATATTTTTCTTTCACTATTTTTTACATGCTGCACTGATGGTATGGATTTGGACAAACGCACCGATTTGTCAAAGATTTGTTTCATGCACAAGCAGGAATACTCTAAATGCTTTCAGAATATTAAGTAGAACAAATGAAAAAAGTGCAGCGCTCCACAATTCTCTTCACTGAAATTTTTTTTTAAATATTGTGATAAAGTGAAGGCAGATAGGCCTTTTAACCCCAGGGGGAGTATGTGTAGTTTGTGTTTTGCACAACACAACGCATTGTTTAGTTATGGGCCCCTGGGGTGGAGCATTTGGAGAGAAGGGTGGGCCAATGCTCCACTCCACAGTTTAGTGGTTTTCTGGGGAGACATAGATCCAGGCCAGGGTTTTTTGGACTGTCTCCAACCCACTGCACAGCTGCAGTTAATGAGCTGTTGCAGTGGGAATAAACTCCTCCCTGCTAGACAGGTAGAGGGGGATTGCTGGCTTCCTCCCAGGAAGCAGGTAGGAGAGAGGCTGATCTCTCCAGATAGAGTCAAAGAGACTAGGCACTGGGAGTGCGGAAAGGAAAACAGTCAGGGCAAGGCTGGCTTGGAGCACTGGGAGTGCAGAAAGGAAAGCAGTCAGGGCAAAGCTGGCTTGGAGCACTGGGAGTGCAGAAAGGAAAGCAACAGGTTAGATAGCAGAGTGTTGCTATCTAAAAGGTTGGTGCAATATTGTTTAGTGTAACCCTGAGAGATAGGGAAACTTATGTCAGTTAGTGCTCAGACAAGCTAGGTTTTTTGTTTATAGGGTTTTCTGTTACATTTATGTTTTCATTTAACTGCTGTATCCTGTGTGAACTTACAAATAAAGTGCCTGGAGTATTTGCAACTACAAGGACTGTGCATGTTTTTGCCCTAGAGGACCGTGCTACCTGCAAACAAGGATCACAATATATATACTTTTACAATTATGTGTACACTGTTTGTACAAATTAAACACACCTTTCAGGTGTATCTACAATATAAAAACCAAATATAGTGCAGACAATTTTTTAAAATTAGAAATACATCGAAAAAAGATTTGTAGCTCCCTTAGGATGTCACTCACTTTATCCAGAGCCTAGAATCCCGGCTCTGGGTACGCTGGTATATTGGGAGAAGCATACTCTAGAAAGAGGTATCCACCGATGCTTGCAGGTAGTGATGTCCCAAACGGTTCGCCGAACGGTTCGCCACGGATGGCGACGGCGAACATATGCGCTGTTCGGTCCGCCCCCTATTCGTCATCATTGAGTAAACTTTGACCCTGTACCTCAGCATCCATTTTACATTCATTGTGAAGCTGCATTCTTAGTGAGCTGTCCAGGAGGTGGGAGGGTCTGGGAGGGAGGGTCTGCTGCTGATTGGCTGGAATGTGTCTGCTGACTGTGAGGTAAAGGGTCAAAGTTTACTCAATGATGACGAATAGGGGGCGGACAGAACAGCGCATATGTTCGCCGTCGCCGTCTGTGGCGAACCGTTTGGCGAACCGTTCGAGACATCACTACTTGCAGGGATTTATACATAAACAGAAACGTGGAGAAAATAGGATAGTGCAGTATCCCAATGTACCAGCATATTCAGAGCCGGATTCTAGGCTCTGAATCAAGTGAGTGTCATCCTAAGGGGGCCACCAATATTTTTTGTGTGTATTTATGATTAGAAGATTTGTCTGCACTAAATTTGGTTTTAATGTTGTAGATACACCTGAAACATTTGCTTAATTTGGACGAACAGTAAACACATATTTGTATAAGTATATATATATATATATATATATATAAATATATTATTATTATTATTATTATTATTTATTTTTTTTAAAAACTTTTAATTAAGAGAATTGTGGAGCGCAGGAATGTGGTAATTTTATTTGATTTTACACATTTCTTTGTTATTTTGCATGATGCTTATTTATTCTAAAGGTTCCACATTTTCACTGGTTTAAAGCACCTGTGCACACTTGTTTTAAATTTTTTTTGATGATTATATTTGTATTTTGCTCTTTCAGGGTATTCACTAAAATGTGATTTGTCAGCAATTCAGGCCAAAACAGATACATTTGTGAAATTCGTGAAGACAGCTACATTCTCATGTCAGCTATTTTGGCATAAATTGTGCTTACCTTTACTTAAAGCGGCACTGTCATGCCGAACTTACCTTTCCCCAATCGATTCCTCTTCTCTTCCTCTCTCAGGATCTGTTCTTCATTTCTTCCTGTTTGCTCTAGTTTTCCCTTCAAAGTAGGTTTCTTACGCCTGACCAGCTATGATCAGCGGAGGAGTAAAGTGTGCTTCATTCTTACCTTTCCTCCATGATCTCGCGATGCTTCCTGTATTCCCGAACGTCCTGTTACTTAGACAGAACGAGGGCGAAACTACCGAATTTCGTCCTAACAGAATGACAGTTTCAGAACAGAAATTCTGATCCAATTCGTACCACGGCTGCATCCTGCAGCCGCTTAGTAGATAACTTAGTAGATACGGTGGGAATTAGGGAGCCATCTACCAAAAGGCTGAAAGACCTAAATTGGTCTTTTAGTCAAATTTACTAATACTAAGTGAAGATTACTTAGATTAGTAAATTCTGCCCCTACTCGTTATATCGCAAGTAGAGACATGTCTACTAAACCCGTGCTGCGCAAGTGGGGGCTATTAAACGGAAGGGGGGACCTAGTGTCCCCACCTCCCGGCCCCTACCCATGAGCGGCGGGTGGAGGCCCTAAATGAAAATAGGGGGGAACTATTATCCTCCTCCCCCAGGCCCCACCCATGAGCAGCAGATGGGGGCCCTAAATGAAAATGGTGGGACGACCCCCCTTCAGGTTCATAGCCCCGACTCACATGGCACGGGTGGGGGGACACTAGGTAGCTTATTTTAACAGTGAGCAGCCACTGGCTGAGACAGAGGTCTTCGTTCATTCATTTGAAATTTCTATTCATTTATTTGTCTTTCTGACGAATGATTGAATAGATGAAATTTCTGTTTGCATACCCAAGTGTTTAACTGGGCATGCGCGGGAATCTCACAGTGCTATCTAGTGTGGGCAGATGGCATGTCCCACAGGGGACACTTTTGGGAGTGGCTAGGGGGACAATTAGATGTAGTGGAGTCGGGAGGGGGGGTTAAAAAAAAAAAAAACAGGATTCAGTCATGACAGTGCCGCTTTAACTGCTGTTATACCAACTTGTGGTTTATTCCTTCTTACTGCACAGAAACATTGTTCCACAAAATCATCATGTGGATTGCAAAAAGATCTAAACTATATTTAGAGGTATATCGGATTTATGGGGCGGTAAGAAATTGGCAATTTTCCCCCAATTAGTACATGCATGAAAAATATCTAATAAATAGTTATATGTACTTTTTTGCACGTTTGGGCAGTGGAGTGTCCCTTTAATCACGGGCAGCACGTGCCAGTTGGTCTAAGATCAGTTGGTGCTAAACTCCTGAAAAACACGTGCCTAAGTCTGTAATTCCCAAAATATCTGGCAGCACTGTATAAATGAAACTAAAATATAGTCACAGCTTAAATAAACAAAAAAAATTGCACACAACCTTTCTTTTTATCCTTGGAGCTGCTTATGTTGATGGTATGCTATTGAGTTTTCTGTTTAAACTAAGCCGTTCTTTTATTTATTTTGAAGTCATGTGAATGCATTACTTCACACTGGTGAAATAATTTTAAAGGTACACTATAGTCACCAAAACAACTTTAGCTTAATAAAGCAGTTTTGGTATATAGATCATACCTCTGAAACCTCACTGCTCATTTCTCTGTCATTTAGGAGTTAAATCACTTTGTTTATGCAGCCATAGTCACACCTACCTCCATGTAACGTACACAGCCTTCCTAAACACTTCCTGTAAGGAGTGATCTAATGTTTGCACTTCATTTATTGCAAATTATGTTTAATTTAGAATTTATCTCCTGCTCTGTTAATAGCTTGCTAGATCCTACAGAAGCCTCCTGTGTGTGATGTAAGTTTAATTTACAGAGCAGGTGATATAAACTTTTAAAGTAAGTTACATCTGATTGAAAATGAAAACGTTTTCTTTTCATGCAGGCTGTGTGAGTCACAGTCAGGGAAGGTGTGAGTAGGGCTGCATAAACCAAAACAAAAGTGATTTAACTCCTACAGGGCAGAGAATTTAGCAGTGAAACTTCAGAGGAATGATCTATACACAAAACAGCTTTATTAAGATAAAGTTGTTTTGGTGACTATTGTGTCCCTTAAAATTTTTATTATCCCTTCCCCCTCCCAGCTGTATATCTGTAGACTATATGGGCACAATGTATTCTAGGATTGGTATATAATACTAAGTCATTTTATGGTTTTCCTCTCACCTTGATTCTGGACCTAAATCTCAGACCAGAACAGAATTAACTACAGATGACTTAATTAGATGTAGTGGAGTCGGGAGGGGGGTTAAAAAAAAAAAAAAACAGGATTCAGTCATGACAGTGCCGCTTTAACTGCTGTTATACCAACTTGTGGTTTATTCCTTCTTACTGCACAGAAACATTGTTCCACAAAATCAACATTGTTCCACAAAATCATCATTCCTTACCACTGGCCTAGGAGCCAGTGGTAAGGAATGTAGCCCCATGTAGCCAAAGCGCAGCTAAGCGAAAAAAGGCCTTGACAGGGGTTAGGAGGCGGGCATAGGAGGAGGGAAGGAAGTAGGGAGTTATGGGTAAGTAGGCTTGGCTATTTAAATAGGCAGCCATTTTAAAGCCTTCACTTTTAATTACTACCTTGCTGAGTTTGTGTGCACTCCTGTGTCCACAGATTTGGTTTGGTGGGGTCTTTGTTTTTCTCTCCTTCTGCAGGGTCGAAGGATAACATG